CATCCACTGCAATCCTAAATAAGTCAGTTCCCAAGCAGTGCCTATGTCTTTAACCTGCTAATACACCACAGGATTTGGTTGGCTCACAGATGTATTTATCATACAACAATTAAGGGTCTGTGACTTGCAATTAATCTCTCTGCCAGCGCCCTGGGCATGTAAACACATCTCAAAGCAGAGCACAAAAAAAATTAGAAGAATCATTTAAGAACTCCTTTCGTGTCCAGAGCAGAGCAACATAGTGAGTGTATCTTCGTGTTTAAATTTAAATCTGCTGCTGAAGTAGTGCAGTGATGCTCAGCATTACCCAGCACAGCAGACATCCACACTCTATACATAACACAGCTACGATTTTTACAAGTTTTAAACACTCAGTTCTCAGCATTCAAGTTCACAAACCACATACTGCAGAAGCAGCATGAGCAACCTAAAAGCACAAAGATCATTGACAAAACAGTTTTCCTGCAGGAACACTCCAAGTATCTGCATCTCTCTATGCATCCCTTTAGGATCTTTCACTTCTAGGTAGTTGCTAAATGCTGCTGTTGGCCTCTGGAAGTTTTTTGCTGGAGAAGCCTCCCATAACAAAGCAAAGTATGTGTTATCAAAGGAAGGCATTCCCTCATCATATCTTGGGGCTGTAAGTATCTCTAAATGGCTGAGGAAGGTTGAGATATGAAGAGATTAAGTTGCTCCTCAAAGTTGCACCTGAAGCCAAACTAAATCTCGTGGCCTCAGGATTTAGCTTTGCATCCTCGGTATGGGACATCACTGCTGGCCTGTGCCTGATTTTGTCAAGGCAATTACTGCAGCACAAGCACTGTGCTTAATTGGTATTTAGGCTTTCCACTGCCACAGGCGTTGCAATGCTGCATATTCCCCGCTCTTTTATCCATGTGGAAATTTCAGTGTTCTAGGAAAGGCAAGGTTTGCCCAACACAGTTGAGTTTAGGTCCATGCCTGCCTCCAGTTCCTTCCAGACAACGTACAAACATCAGCCAATTCAGCACAGGCCATCTGAGCCTGGTGGCAGACTGGCGAGTGCCCCTATCTGGGGTGTAAAAGCTCCCAGGAGAGGATGCTTTCAGGGTACCAGCCCCCAGCTCAGGTCTGGGATCAAGTAAACACCAATTCACTTCCCACAACTTTTTGATTGGGTTCCTTGATCATAAACAAGATGGTTTCATCTCCACTCAAGTCCTTCCACCTACTGTTCCCAGCCCTTAGTCACTGCCTCCTCAGCAGCCCCCTTAAACCATCTGTTCTAGAGAAGTCAGAGGTGCCTCGTTTTCTCCACAAAGAGCCAGGCAGCTGTCCCAGCACCCTGCCTTGGATCAGACACCACCACCACAGGGCACAGACATTCAGAGAGCCGTCTGAACACAGCTCAGTGCTCTCAGTTTTCCTGTTTGTAAAGCACAGATAACAGTAATACTCCCACAAATTCAAAGATTTGCGTAACAGTGCTCTGAGATCATAGGATTTAAAGAAAACACATTTGTTATTTTCACATGGCAAAATAAGAGTGGCATGAACATGGATGATTATACAAACAGCTTCGTGGGCTGTCTTGTACATCCCCCTTACTGGTCCTTTGGGCTCTCAAGCCAAATTAGCACATACCACATGCTTTGTTCTTTTCATCAGACCAATTTTGCTGGTATTGGTGCCTGCTCCAAGACCTTCTTATTTAAAAAAGGTGTTACAGAGAAGTAACAACACCTTAAGAATAGACTAAATGATCCCTGAGGTCCCTTCCAACCTGAGTTATCCTACAAGCCTATAACCACACCAACAGGAAATGCCTGGAGCTGACCCGATTAACCTTCCTTTCAGTTCTGGGGCCCAGGATAAACCAGTCTACAAAGAGATGTGTCACCTGTCTGGCTTCTACGTGGCTTCTCTTGTCTGTTCAGTGATTTTAACACTATCATCCTGTATCCTAGTCACTATGCTGAGTCTCCAGCAGTAAGAGCACACATAGCAGCCACACTGACATCTGGTATTATAAATACAAGCTCTGCACTGTTGGATAATCTGTTAACAGCAGAGTAAAGTGTCACTGAAAGAGCAATTAGCAGCAGCTAGTAAGCCATCACATTCAGGAGGAAAAAAAATATTTGTTTGGTAAGATGTGCAACTAAATATTGACGGCAGTCAGTATCACTCCTCTCTGCTTTGAGATTTCCAGCACATGTGGAACTCAGTGCTACTGCAAGGTGCCCACAGCAGCCCTAGACTGAAGCTCTGCATTGCCACAGCACAGCTCTGGCAGGGGGCAAGTGTCCCCTGTTAAGGGAACATGGCTTGATGACAATTTGAAAGGAGTCCCACAGGTCATGAGCAGGGAAACCAGCCCTGGCAGGGCCTCCAGCCCCTCTGCTGAAGTGTCCACATCAGACATATCAGCCAGCACCAACCACATCAGCATTTGTTCTTGCAGAGATTTCCATCCACTCAGAGAGAAACTCATCAGCACTCACATTCACTGTGCAGCAGCAGCTGCTGAGCAATAGCTGCACCACCATCCTGGTATCAAGCTGGAGCAGTGACATATGTCATGTCCACACTACAGCAATGATTGTATTTGTACACAGTAGGTCTACACACAATTTCTTCTTATGCCTCTTCAGACAAAAGACAGCCCCTATCACAATTACACTGAAGAGCCATGCTTATTCTGGGTACTATTTCCATAGCTTCTTATCATGGTTTCCAATACCCACACAAAAAAAAAAAAGACTCCACATTACAGCAGGGCCCCAACACTATTTTAACAGGACTAGGGTTTGCAGCATATACACACACATTCTGTGGTAAGAGGTCTCAAGTTACCAGTCTCTAAACTAGCCAGCACTCAAGGGTATCAAATGGAGAAAGACCTCTTCACTCTGACATATTTTCCATTTCCCCTCCAATTATTTCCTCTAAATGCTTTTCTGCAGACAGGTCTCAGCTTCTACTCAGGGGACCTTTCATTATTTCATTTTCTAAAAGCCACAGCACTATAACTTGCTGCTAGAGAGACAGCTGATGGGACACAGTGAGGTCACAAGTTCTCCTGGGACAGGAGTCATCAGAACCAGACAGAAAACACTTTGATTTGTTTATTTTCCACCAAGCAGATAAAATCCCCAGTTCTAAATTGGTGCCAGTAGAGATGCACCAAGGACTAATATACCCCCTTGTGTGCTCAGTCTAAAGGAGAGGGGCAGAGTACCCCAAAAACACCGACTGTTCTTCAACAAACCCTCCTCTGGCCCTACAGCCACATGTTATCTATGACACCACTGCAGCACTGCCTGCACAGATCCTCTAAAAAAGATTTACAGCATTAGGCTGCCAGTACTTAGAAAGCATGAAAACAGCAGAGCCAACAGGTGAACCTGTTTTGCTCACAGATTTCAGGAGATCCATTTTCCCCTTCTTCTTAGAAAGCTACAGCCCAGCAAGCTTTTCATTTGGGTGACAGGAATTGTTATTTTCTTCCTGTGTCTATGGACAAACAAGTGGATCCTGGACTATGACCTGAGGCTCAGCAAAATGTGTTTCTGCCATGTCCTTCCCTTGGCATGATCCCAGCATCCCTGGAGGATACATTGCATGGACTCTTGAAAGTTAACCAGAAAGGATCCCAAACTCTTTGAATTTTACAGAAAAACTCCTTTAGCCTATAGCTAAGAAAAAAAACCTCTTGCTTCGACTATGCTTTCATTGTACCAGATACAATCCTTGTGCCTTCTTCCCAGCACAGACAGCACACCCTGCACTCACTGCTCAAGGATACCCTTGCACAGATCCAGAATTTGGGGCTACTTGCAGCTAAACAAGCAATTAACCCATACCACAGACCCTTCTGACAGTCAAAAACCTTTATAAGCCATCCGTCAGCAAACAGCTTAAAAGAAAAAGTGGGGGTGGCGGAACGAGATCCAATAGATGTTGTCACAAATGCAGTTTGCTGAAAGAGAAAAACCCACACAAGCATCTGACCAGGTACCACAGCAGTCGCTGCTTTTAAGGCAAGTCACCAGCAACCTGCATGCTCCTCACAGCACAAAAAAAACGACCTTGATAACTAAAACCTGTGTATCACTTAATACAATTAATTACTAAGCCAGGAACAGGCTGAGGAACCCCCCCTCCCCAGGTGTTGTGTGTCTGCGCTGGAGCAGATAACCAGCCGGCCCGGTCTGCAATTTACTCAAGTTGCAGATGATGAATGCGAAGGTCACATGAAGGGAAAGCATCAGTATATTGCCTGTCACAAAATGGTAGCACCCGGGGATTTGAGCATAGAGGAGAGCTCTAACCCCGTCCTTCCTATAGCCTCCCCGCAGCTCCTGACATGGCATCCGCTATGGAGGACAGCGAGCCTGGGCTGGGGGAGGGGGACGGAGCAGATTAAACTTAAACACCCTCCGCATCACCCCCCCCCAGCAGCGACAACATCCATCCCTGAGCCCCGCGGCCCCGCACGGAGCAGGGGATGGATGCGGCTGGTCCCCCACGGGCACTTCGGCCCCTCCGTTATGTAACAGCCGGGGGGCACGGGGGGGCCCGCACCGGCCGCCAAGGTGCGGCAGAGGCGGGGACCCCGCTGCGGAATCCCCCGGGCGGGGAGCCCTCCCTCCCTCCCCTGCCTCTGCGAGCCCCTGCACCGCAGCGCCCGGGCATCCTGCAGCGCTGCCCGCGCACCGCACACGCACCGGCCGGGCAGCTCCGAGCGGAGGGAGCGCTGTCCCCGCACCGCGCTCGGAGCCGCCGAGCCGTGCTAGCAATGCCCACACCGCGCCGTGCCCGCGGACCCCGCGCTGTCCCCACGGCGGCTCTGCCCGCGGCGCTGCCCCCGCACCGCGCTGTGCCCGCGGACCCCGCAGCGCTGCCCCCGCACCGCGCTCGGAGCCGCGCCGTGCCCGCACCGCGCTGTCCATGCGGCAGCTCTGCCCGCGCCCCCCCGGGGGACCGGGACCACCACCAACCCCCATCCCCGCACTCACCTCCCGACGAAATTCTCCAGCACGGAGCTCTTGCCCGCGCTCTGCCCCCCCACCACGGCGATCTGCGGCAGGTCGAGGTTGGCGTTCTGCCCGATGGCGGCGAACGCGTCCTGCAGCCGGTTGACCAGCGGGATGAGATCCTCCATCCCGCGGTTCCCCATGGCTGCGGCGCTGCTCCTCGCTCGGGGCGAGCTCGCGCTACCCCTTCCCGCGGCGCTCCCCGGCTGTGGGGCGGGCGGGCAGCGGCTCCAGCCCGCGCCCCTCGCCCCGCTCGACGCCGCCCGGGCTCCGCTCGCCTCAACCCGCCCGCCGCGCCTGCAGAGCGCCCCGCGCCGCCGCCAGGGGGCGTTAAAGGCGCCGGCGCCGCGGTGCACCCCGGGAGTTGTAGTCCGGCGGCTGCGAGGGGGCTGAGGGGGCCCGGGCCGGGATGGCGCCGGGGGCTGCGCCCACAGACACGGAGCTCGCTGCCCAGAAGCAAAACAGCCCAGGCTGCCCGCGGGGCTGTTTCTGTGTGGGGCAGGTTGACACGCCTGTATAGCCCAGCCGGTGTGGGTGTGAGTCCCCATCAGCCTGCTCCACAGTCAGTCATAGTGCACCTGTCCATAAGCCTGCACGGCCCTGTGGAATTCAGTCACTGTATCTATATTATCTATTATCTACTATACCTATATGATCTATGCAGTGCAGCCAGCGAACATGTATGATTTGGTTGATGTACCCACGTGGTTTGGTTACCAAACCTGCACGGTTCAGTCTTTACAGCCACGCTGGTAAGTCAATACACCTGCACAGTTCAGTCACAGTAACTGAGAATTTGGCTGACGCACCTGCACGGGAGGGCTTTGTGTGAGAACAGCACTTATAAATTCCCAGAATACAAGAAATTACTGATATGATTAAACTGGATGTTTGCAAAAACGCTGTCACACTCCAAGCAACCTGGTCTAGTGGAAGGTGCCCCTGTCCATGGTAGGGGGGTAGAACGAGATGGTATTTAGGGTTCCTTCCAACCCAAACCATATCGTGATTCTGCTGCTTCATCTTCATTCAAACACAGATGAAACATGCGTCAATTTCTGTTTAAAGCTGCCAAACAGGAGATTGTTGTTGCTGGGTTTGTTTCACAGAAACACAAACAGGTGCTTCATTTTATGTACCCAGATTTTGGGTTTTTTTAATCACTTGCCTAGAATAAAGAGGCAACAGCTTGCTTTGGGGTTTTTTTAAAGGGATTGGTTTTTAATAAGAATATAATGCGAGGCCATATTTGATTTGAAAGTATAGCAGTGAAAACAAGTGCTCAGAAAAGCAGCCGATGGCTAAGGGTGACTCAGGAGGATGGAGAGTGCTGCGTTTCAAACACCTCTCAGTTTGTGCTACCCAGTACTCCTGTTCACAGCTCAGAGCGAGCTGGGGGTGGTGGGGGAAAGGACTAAAAAAAACTGCAACAGATTTTGAGCTGTCTGTTTTGCTTCAAACAGCAACGTTTTAGTTATAATGGTTATAAGGAATGTTTACAGATGTCCATCAAATGGAATCCATGCAAAAATACCTACCTGGACATACACAGAAACTGGAACAACCATGTTGAGGGGTTGCCTCACTGGGTGAGTGAAGATGCCCAAGGAAACGCTCTGAACACATCACAGGTGTGCAGGTAAGAACACTGAAGGAAGGGAAATAAACTGCTCCATCTGTGTGGGTAACACCACTGCAGGGCACACGTGGGCTGTTTTGGGGGCTGTCAATGCTATTTTTTTCCTCTCAGCAAATTTCCCAGTAAATGTGGAAAAACAAGCTTAAGAAACTCAGTGTAGACTGTGGACAAAAGCCTTTGAGCATCTGTGCAGCCATTCTGATAATTTATGTTGAAGGAATCTGGAGAAAAAACACTGTAGCTAGCTGCTCCTTGTTAGAGGTCACCACAAAAAGAAGAGTGAACAGTATCAAAGGCTCAGATAATGATGTCACCTTCCTTCCTGGATCAGAGCTGATGCTCAGGGAACTTCAGACCATGAGCACCTTTGTAACATTATTTGAGGAACCATAAGAAGAAAATTGTTCTTTTCCTGGAGTTTGCTGTAACCTGAAGTTCACCAACTTCAATACAGAGAAAGATCGCCCAGTCCCATCACTGAAATCACCTCACACAATTTACCAGCTGTACTAATAAGCCTCAGTGACCATGACCAGCCTCACCTGGGGCTTCTGCCCACATCTGTGGGCCCAGGAGCTCTATTTAAACTCAGCCCAGGACCATCATTCAGTAAGGAATGATGAAGAAATGCTTGTCTCTAATGTGTTTGCAGTCCTTTGTGCCTAGGGAGTCTTTAGTCTGACCTTCACTCATGGGTTGACTCCTAAGCTTTGTCCCAGTGCATTCTAGGCAGGTATTTTGTTCTGAGTGAGCTAACTCCAGAAATAATAATTTATATTACCCCATTTTTCTGGAAAGCTAAAATTGAACTAATATTTTTGCTTTGAAAAGTATTTGTGAAAGACTATTGAAAGTACAGTATGTCAACAGCTGATATTGAAGACTGAGGGGGGAAAAATAGGGTTTATGCAGCCAGTTAAGGAGCTGGTACAGCACTAAGGCTCCTGAACGACTTCTTTGCAGGTATTTCTTTCAATATTATCTGGTTTTACTTTTCTGTGACATTCATACTTAGTTTTTGGGAAATGTGGTCCTTGGTCTAACTGACTGTGGTCTTAAAGGGCAAAATTGGACAGGAGGGATGGGGGGAGGTAACAGGATGCTCTCCAAGTAGACAAAAAAAAAAGAATAATAACTTGCAGAAATATTTGCAAATTTTACATGATCAATATTAGCGTGAAACTGAAACATGCACAGAATGTGCTCCTGCTTCTCTGCCCTGCTGAGATGTTTGTAAGCAAATGAGATCACTGTCTGCCTGCAGCGTCACCCTCCAACAACTCATTAATACCGTGAAGTCTAAACGCTTCTGCAGCAATTGCAGTAGCTCAGCCCAGACACTGAACTCGGGTATTGAGACAGCGAGGCTTGGATTTTCTGAAGCTTTAGAAACTTACACCTCCCACTGATGAACAAGCGAACTGCAGGCACTCGGAATCACTCCCAGAGCCTTCCATTTTCTCTCCTGCCACAAACTGAGTTGCAAGGATGTTAGCAGTAGATGTGCCTTTTGATTCTTAATACCTCCTACCTGTGACTTATGCAGCAGATATAAGAGGAGAAACAACTGTGTGATCATTCCTCATGGGGCATATTAGAAAACTGCAATGTCTGTGGAATTAAAAGGAATTTTATAAACTGGAATGAATAGGAAAAAATCTATTTCTTTCTACCTTGGTAGAAAAACTGATGATATGAGCAAATAAAAACAAGGAGGATGAAAGATTCTTCCCCCACCCAAGATGCTATAATTATTTCTGAATGTACTTTAAAAATGCATGTGGGCAAGCATATGTGTGTTTCTATGTATGGCTATCAACGTAAGGACAGTTCTGTATGCTGATTTTGTCACCTCATGCAAATAGAACTCCCAGTTTAGTTAGCATAATTAGAAATAGACATTTGAGTGCTGGATTCTGTCCTTCATTCCTTGCCCTTGCAAAAATAACACATTTAGTCCTCAGAGAAAAAAATAGGCAAAAATTTGGAATACAATTATTTTATGATTCTTTAACTTACCTGCAAACTGTTCCTGCTGACTCCAGGTAGAGCTGTGAATGTTCTGAACAATGTGCAGAAGTGGACACTTCTGGCCCTTTGGGTTCCTAAAAATGTTTATGAACACAGGTAAGAATTTAAATGGAATGTTTAAAAGGAGAGGTTGGAAGCTCCACAAAGACTCAGGTCTAGGATTGTCATTGTCTGTATTAATATCAAATACATGATACAGCTGGCCAAAAGTTTAAAATCTTAATTAAAATTAACCTCTTGAATTTCCATGACTATGTAAAGTTGCCTATAGAGATAGATATTATAAAATTGATACTTAAATGGTTTCTTAATTGCTCCTATAGCAGCAATTGTACCATAGTGACATCACTGATCTCTTGTGGTATGAGTTGCTCAGAGAGGAGAAGTTAATTTCTAATCTTTTTATTTATTGCAAAAGCTATTTGAAAGCCTTTAATTTTTTATTTTCAAATAAAGCTTTCCTTTGTAGAATAACATACTGAAATGTTTCCTTCTCTTCTGTTCTGAAAGAGGAAATTTGCTGAACTAGTCTGTAAATCCCCCAAAAAGAGGTAAAGAAAGGTAAATTCAGTGTATGAGACACTGGGACAGTTTTGTCATTAATGTGACTCCACAGAAGCCAGAATATACATAAGGAAAGAAATAACCTGAATGTTATAGTCCATTAGAAGTGGAATCTGAAAATGGATGTGAGTTGAAATTAATATTTTAAGAGCAACAAGGCTGAGTTCTCTGTGCTTTCCACATCCAGTAAGATGCCACAAAATAGCTCCTGGCAGATATTTTACCATGTGAAACTGAAAATCACTGACAGAAGCTGATTGACCATGTGGCAAAATGGATATTAAAAATTGTATCTTTATCTCCTGTGGCCTGTCCTGCTGATCAAGAAATACCAGGAATAGGTTTCTAGAACAATACTACAAGGAATGGGTGCAAACATCCCTTAATGCACAGATCATTTTGGTTTGAAATGCTGTGTGCTACTGCTTTCATGTGTGTGAATCCAGTCTTCCTCCAGATAAAACAGACATGGAAAACAGTATAATTCCAGTAACTAATATCAGCTGCTGGGAGCAAGGCTGGTGAAACTTGGCCCACTCTTTCAATAGACAGGCCCCAAAACCAGAAGAAAAAAGTACTTTAAAGCTCCATATGTTTTTTCTTCAATAAGTTTGGGAGGCTTAAATATATTATGGTGAGAACTAGTTATATCCTGGTGAAATGGATGAGTAATAACTCCATCCTTGCAGATTGCAGAGGAAATTGTGGGTACTGCAGTATGTTGGTGCTGTCAGAGGCACTGAGAAACACTTGGATTTTCAAAAGCAATGTGGCTTCACCAAGGGTTGCAAAAGCCAAAATTAAAACATACAACTGCACAGTGCAGTCGTGCTGGAAATTAGAAATCTCTGGTTATCTGCATGCCTCATCTGGTCCCTGGAACAAATTTATATGGCCCAGCAAAAACTTCCCTATATAATACAATCCAGCTCCTGAATTAAAAGCATTCATATGGTCTGTCCTCTTATCTGCCAAGGAATTTCATAACCCTGATCCAATCACACGGAGGTGTAGTGCAGGTTGCCTTATAGCTATGACCTACAGC